TAAGGGACTTCATGTTTATTTCTGTGAAGTTTAAATGGGCATTTTTGACAATTTAATAGATCTGCAGAATAATAGATTATTATATATAATAATATTATATATATTATAAAATCATTAGTTGTGGTGCTAGTCTCATTGCCACCCCTGATCTGCCGTGTTGGTCTGATTGTACTTCCCCATGCAGATGAACTAATAGCTACTCTTTCCTGTGTAATGTATATTTATGTCAAGTATCCTTTTCTAAACACACCCATCCTTCTCTTAGGAGCTGTCGAGAATTATGGACCATACTGCTGGGAAGATCTGCCTTGCGAGAGCCGGTACGTCTTCTTAACACTTATTGTCATGTACCATGTAGCGTGTGTGTTGTGTGTGTGTGTGTGTGTGTGTGTGTGTGTGTGTGTGTGTGTGTGTGTGTGTGTGTGTTGTGTGTTAGGATTAATAAAAGATTGTCTTGAGGGTCCCAAGTGGTCCCTTAAGTACTTTGATTCTCAAATGTGAATGGAACCTTTTTGGTGTTCAGATACACTAAAATTAGAGAAGATCTTAATGTTAGGTTTAATTACTATCGTCATAGTGCATATTAAAAGGTAATGTCTTGATTTTTTCCCCTGTTCTTATTATGAAATGCTTGACAACCACAGGCTCAGATAGAGGCAGAGCTTGACAGACACTGGGACAGACTGCATCAAGGACTCAGTTACTACAAGCCACCCAGGTATATGTTACAGTTGTTTTGATCCTTACATCTATACATACAGGTTCATAGTAACTGAAAGGGTAATTACTATTACTAACTATTACTTGTTGTAGTTCATCCTCTGCTGGGAAAGTGAAGGAGAACAAAGATGTTGCACAACCACTGAAGGATTTTGGCCTGAGGATCAGTAAACTGTTGGTAAGAGTTCAAAAATGTAAAATATGTGATTCACTATTTTCATTTGGTGGTGCATTTCATGGTGATTTAATGGTTAAATAATGTAAACAGGGTCTTGATGAGCAGCAGAGTGTGCAGCTTTTACAGTGCTACCTACAAGAGGATTACAGAGGAACCGGTGACTCGTTAAAGGTGTGTCTTCTCCACTGATTATTTCGCTGTATTGGAATCTGTCTAAATCCTTTGGCCCAAAATAATTCGCAACTATTTAAAAACTGATAATTTCAGTCATTTTTCAAGCAAAAATAGTGAAACAATGACTGACATCTGAAACCTGCCTCTTCAATGAGAATATCTCTTGCTCTTCTTTATTGATATCACTAAGGGACTTCATGTTTATTTCTGTGAAGTTATAATGGGCATTTTTGACAATTTAATAGATCTGCAGAATAATAGATTATTATATATAATAATATTATATATATTATAATAATCATTAGTTGTGGTGCTAGTCTCATTTGCCACCCCTGATCTGCCTGTTGGTTCTGATTGTACTTCCCCATGCAGATGAACTAATAGCTACCTTCCTGTGTAATGTATATTTATGTCAAGTATCCCTTTTCTAAAACACACCCATCCTTCTCTTAGGAGCTGTCGAGAATTATGGACCATACTGCTGGGAAGATCTGCCTTGCGAGAGCCGGTACGTCTTCTTAACACTTATTGTCATGTACCATGTAGGCAAGAGTGTGTGGGTAGTGTGTGTGTGTGTGTGTGTGTGTGTGTGTGTGTGTGTGTGTGTGTGAGAGATTAATAAAAGATTGTCTTGAGGGGTCCCAAGTGGTCCCTTAAGTACTTTGATTCTCAAATGTGAATGGAACCTTTTTGGTGGGTTCAGATACACTAAAATTAGAGAAATCTTAATGTTAGTTAATTACTTCATAGTGCATATTAAGAAAAGGTAATGTCTTGATTTTTTCCCCTGTTCTTATTATGAAATGCTTGACAACCACAGGCTCAGATAGAGGCAGAGCTTGACAGACACTGGGACAGACTGCATCAAGGACTCAGTTACTACAAGCCACCCAGGTATAGTTACAGTTGTTTTGATCCTTACATCATATACACTACAGGTTCATAGTAACTGAAAGGGTAATTACTATTACTAAAACTATTACTTGTTGTAGTTCATCCTCTGCTGGGAAAGTGAAGGAGAACAAAGATGTTGCACAACCACTGAAGGATTTTGGCCTGAGGATCAGTAAACTGTTGGTAAGAGTTCAAAAATGTAAAATATGTGATTCACTATTTTCATTTGGTGGTGCATTTCATGGTGATTTAATGGTTAAATAATGTAACAGGGTCTTGATGAGCAGCAGAGTGTGCAGCTTTTACAGTGCTACCTACAAGAGGATTACAGAGGAACCCGTGACTCGTTAAAGGTGTGTCTTCTCCACTGATTATTTCGCTGTATTGGAATCTGTCTAAATCCTTTGCCCACTTGTTCAGTATACCAAAGAGTAACTGAGATAAATATATCCACCAGTTTTTGAATTTAGTGTAAATCTGTGTTTTGTATGTGGTGTATTGTGTATAATTGAGTCTTCTTTACAGGTTGTTCTCAAGGATGAGAGACAAAGCCAGGCACTGTTGATGAAGGTCAGTACAGAGATCTGCAGCTATTTACTTGTTGTGTAGTTCCACTTAATTCAGCATGGCAATTATGCTTCCAGAGGCAATCCAATAAGTATGACTTCCTATGTGTGTGTACTTACAGATAGCTGACTATTACTATGAGGAGCGCATGTGTCTGCTCAGATGTGTCCTCCTCTTGCTGACGTACTTTCAGGATGAGCGACATCCCTACAGGGTGAGCGACACATCAGATCATTGTAGAACATTGCTTTGCACATTTCTCACTGATAATACATTTATTTGTTGTTGCTTCTGTAACATAACTCTGGGTGTGTTTGTTATTTGTCCAGGCTGAGTACTGTAACTGTGTCAATAAACTGGAGAAAGACCTTGTGGGCAGCTACCAGTCACAGTTTGAGAACCTCTTCAAAGCAGAAGCACCAACATGGGAAACTCATGGAAACCTCATGGTGATCATTTGCTTCTTTTGTTTGGTTCATATATGGTTAATATACTGTATATTGTAACCTAGATCTAATGTAAATATCATGTGGTATTCACATCTTTTGTTTGACATGAAGTCATACCAGACAGTGACATTTGTTTGTTTGAGCTTGTAAAATAATGTTTTTTCTTTTCCAGACGGAGAGGCAGGTGTCACGGTGGTTCCTGCAGTGTCTGAGAGAACAGTCTCTGCTGCTGGAGATCATCTTCCTGTATTATGCTTACTTTGAGATGAGCCCATCCGACCTGCTGAGCTTCACAAAGATGTTCAAGGAGCAGGGCTTTGGTTTGCGGCAGACCAACAGACACCTAGTAGACAAAAGCATGGATGCGTTGGTTGATCGAATCGGGTAAGAGCACGGAGGGTTTGTGTTTATGTGCCACTCATGTTTAAAGTGAGCAGTCCCTATTAAACTAAAAATGCACCACTGATGCATTAAGTGGGTGTCCAAACTTTAAGACTTCAAAAAACC